TATATATATATATATATGATAAGTAACAAAAGAAGGAACGACTGCACAGATGCACACCAGACAACATGCCTGGATATTCTGCATATTCATAATTACTAAAAAAAAAAAAATCATGAAATATATTTTGTAGCTACAGCCTTAATATTGCTTGTGGCTGAGAGTAACTGCCCTTGCAAACGTACTGCTACTAAAATAGTCAAAATAATATGCCAGTATGCCAATGTTATAAATAGAGCCATTATTTTTTTTTATAAGAGTTTCTAGTGTGAAGGAGTGAGTGTTTGTCTTGTAAAATCTGTACTGCTTACTCATGGTTGTTTAATTCTCATCATTTGGAAAAAAGCTGCAAAAGACTCCCACTCTGCAGCCCTTTGAAATAAGCAGGTGAAAGATCACAGTCTGCATACATGATTTAGTATTAATGTTTTGCTTATGTGTATCTAGGCCAATCAGTTGCATTGAAGGCTCATTGCTTAAATCTTGCATTTTTATTGGTCCAATTCCAATCCCTCAGTGGCTTCCTGCTTTGCACAGGAGGGTTAAAAGTACAATTTCCAATATATCAACACATCTTTCAATTCAAGTCAGAGAGGTACATATCCTACATTAACTGTTTTGTTTGTTTCGTCTAGTGTTGCTTTCATACATAGAATAGGGAAATGCATTTTATTGGAGCCATAAGGCTGGATTCAGGTCAGGCCTGAACTTGACATGTCAAGAAATGATATTCAGGGACAGGTTGAATCCATCATCATTCCAAAGGCAGCGGAGTCATCCTGATGCAGCGCCAGGCAAGGATTTTAAAGGGCAGCCATTGGACTCTAGCTGAAACATTTCCCTTCCCACTATTTGCTGAGGTTGCCAAACACCACCGAGGGCAAGAATACTTCACTAACATATACTCTGACCGGGAGGCAGGTTTCCTCAACACAACCAATATTAAGAATGAAATATTAAGATTTTTTTATTTGCTTTTCAAACAAAGAGTAAATATTTATACATCACACTCTAATTATTCACTTTTATAAAACTGCTAAGAGTAGACTGTCTTTGTTACTGTTGTTTAGCCGCATAAAGTGAAATATATGGATAAAAAAGCAAAATTCAGCTAATTCACAGTACCAGTGGAAAGATTTTTATTTATATTAAATCCAAATACTATATACTGTAAATACTACAGCAATAGTAACTGATAATAAATATCCTTGAAATGGAATGAATACTTTCAACAGTATACATGACAATAAATTAAATGAATATAAATAAATTTTCAATAGTTTAAATAAATAAAATTTCTGCACAGTGCTCTCACTGCCTTATAATGGCTCATGGCAGATTAATCTTGAGACAGGACAAATGGGCGGACGCAGGTGCAGCCGACGCTGACCATCTTTTTTTCCATCTTGAGGACAATGCGGTTCTTCTGGTTCACTCTCCTCAGGACCATGATCTGGAGGAGGATGGGTTTGGAGATCAAGTTCATGTCCTCCACTCCGTCGGCATCCAGACAGCCCTCTTTCAGGCAATAAGCTTGGGGGATGACTGGAGGAATCAGGTTATCATCTGTGATGGAGCTGCAGAGGACAAAAGGGAGCGGGTGCCATTGTTAATACGCTATAAGGTCATCAGAGTTAAACCTTATTGCCCATAAACTGGGGACTGGTCCTGACGAAAAAAAAAAATCAGCAGGATCATTTGTACATTTTTATCTACTTCACAGGTACATTTTGACTTAAAATATGTTTTGTTGGTATAATTTTGGATATGCTTACCAATATTGTGGTGAATTAAAAAAAAATAGAAATAAATGGGAAATTTAATTAGGTACTAAACAAGTCATTTGCACATTGACATGAGTAATTGTGCACAGAAAATTTTCAAGAAGGAACATTGAGAGCCCTCGCTGTAATACTTTGCACTATTCTATTTTCCAATACAATATTGCTTATTATAAATACACATTTGCTTGATAGATTATTAATTATTAATATTTTATGCTGCAGGAAGGGCACCAGTACTGCTCTTCACAGACGCTGAATACAGAGGGTTTCGTTACATTGCATGGATGCTCTTGCACTGGAGTTCATTACAACGCCCCCACCTGTAATTCCATGGTGATATGGAACTCTGAGACGGGTCATATGGAACTGGCTGGGGGAACGTGGCGTCTGTGTCAAACACCAGCTTCACAGCATCCATGGCCCTCCTCGGCGCCCTGTCTAGCACGCCCGCCATCTTTCGATCTTTGCTCCGTGACGAACATTCCTGCTTCCTGTTGCTTTGCCCCACCTTGTCATCGACTCCATACACGCCCAACACAAGCAGCAGGGTCCCAGAAATAAAGAAAGCTTTCAAAACCTAACCAGAAAACAACAAAAGAATTCAACGTTTGTGACCAATATTATTTACCAGAGGTGGAGATTTCAGGTCCAGAGAGTACAAATCCAGACCAAGATTTAGTTTCAACCAACTAGTTGACTATAAAGAGTCAGAGTACTAAATCAACCAACCAGTACTAAACTGGTTGGTTGAAACAAAATCTTGATCTTGATTTGTACTCTCTGGACCTGAAATCTCCACTTCTGGTAACTACTTTGGCAAAATAGACTATAAACTTTATCCGTGTTTAACTATGAGAGGCATGTCAAGCTTCTGCTAAACATTTTACAGAAACACAAACACCAGTGTTGAGTGGAATTTCTTTGCTCAATATTTTTTTTATGCATTTGTATTTAAAATTAATTGTGCTGGCATTTAATTTGGGTCTGGGTTTCCCTGCTGAGACTGCTGCCCCCGCGACCCGACCTCGGATAAGCGGGAAAAGATGGATGGATGGCATTTAATTGCCTGTTTTCAAATATATTTGAAGTACAATTTTTTTAATTTGTGTGTCAGTTAATTTCTATAGTGGACCTGTTTAGATTTTTGGAAGTTAGCATATTTTTACAACATTTGTAGTCTTTTCTGATGTGTTCCTGTTGTCATTCTTCTGTTATCAAGTGGTTTTGTTACTGATGCTGATATTGTTTTCGGATGATGTATACCACCCGTCAAAAGTTTTTGCACACACTGAGATTTTCTACATTTGCATGTTACTCACTTAACATTTACTAAAAATACACTCAATATTCTTTGGCTAACGAATACATTCACAATAGGTTCACCATTTGAGTACCTTTATTTGCAAGAAAATGTCATATCTATGATTCATCAAAGTAACCTCTAGCAGTTGTAACAGCAGAGAAAATTCAAGGCTTTCTGGATATTAAATACTGCTCTGTTTCATAAGATGAAATGGTTTTAAAATGCATTTAAAGTTAAACGACAAACTAGAGTTTGACTATGCCATCACCACACAACCAGTTAATAGGATGCCAGACATGCACTGTTACCTACTCTATCCATGTCATAAAGGAAACTTGTTTTATTTTATTTAAATTCTCATTTATAGTTGTTCACTCAACTTTACAATGATTAACAAGAATAAAAAATGTGCAGTTTATGAAATAAATGGAAAAATGGTAAAAACCTGTGGCATGCGAAAACGTTTGACTGGTGGTGCACATGTCAATTAAGTACCCAGTATGATGCAGAACTGTCTTGAGAGTGTAAAAAATAGCAAAGGAATCCATTGATAAATTCAACAACATACCTGATCAAGTAGTTGTTCAATATCTGAAATGTATGTTTTCACAAGCACCCCCGGCAGAAATGTTTCTCTCTCCAAAACCCAGTATCCAAAGGCAAACTTACAGTTTGTAAAATAAATAGGTCCCAGAGTCTTACAATATCTATGTAACATACGCTTCTACCAATATCGACCTATACATATGAGCTAACATAGCGCTTAAATAGTAGTGTCACTGCTTTGATTAATTTCTCAAGTAATGCACTGTGCTTTCATTTTTTTTTTTTTAAAGAATTTCTTTATCTTTTTATCTTTTTCCTCTTTTACACTTTTATCTATGTACAGCAATTTACAAATATGCCATACAAACAAACTTGCTTTTCCTTCCCTCACTTTGATCGTTCACTCATAAAGAAACCTGAGTTTGCTTCTTCAAGGAGACTCTTTTTACTTCAAAGAGATTTAATTGAAGACCCACACGTCTGACAGATGTCACTCCTTGACTAAAACTGCCAGACACATCAGATAAAAGAATGTCAAAAGATCTGCTGCCAGACTGGGCAGAAACAGGGACTCACCGTAGCGTGTCGGGTGTTGAGCGCGGGAGCCATTCTCTCTGACCTCTTCAGGTGTCTCTGCCTGTAAGCCGAATGTCTTGCATAGAGATCCCCGCAGGTTTATATAGCTGCTGATAGGTATTTCCAGGTGCGTGTGTTTCCCTTGATGATGCAACAGGTAGAAGAGCTTTGTTTATAGGCAAAATAACCAGAAATAAGTTACAGAAGTTAGTCACTGGCATACAGACTATGGGCTACCATATTTCACAACATTTGATGATGACACAGACTTCAGAACAATTTTGTCTGAAAAATATTTTGCTATTAAAAATGAAAAATTTAGAGTATCAAAAGTAAGAATTAATGTTGTATTTTACAAAAACAGTAGCTGGCACTAAGGAACTGACAGTTGGTTGTTTGAGGGATCTGTTCCTGTGTCTGGGAGGTTGTAGGTTTAAATCCCAGATCCAGCCAAGTAGTCAGATCACTGTTGGGCCCTTGAAAGAAATCCCATCTGCTCCAGGGACGCTAGATGCTAGTTGATCCTTGCTATGATCCCAAAACTTGCTCTTACTCTTATATACATGTATCTTTGTTACTCATGGACAGCAATATAAAATGTACAAAAACTACCCAGTTTCTCATCAGGGATGAATAAAATACAACTACTGTGTTCTATTAAGTTGAGATTAACAGTTCTGGGCAACATCATTGCCACCTCTGCATTTTTTGCATATCATGGGATTCAGCGGTTTCCAGACGATGGATGGATGGATGGAAGAGGTGTTGGTGGGGCCAACAGGGAAATGAAAATGTACCAATTTTGTATAATTTGTATCACTGAATTTTTGCAGGATTCCTTTTCCCAGTGGCAGATTTCAACTCTTTCTAAACGATTTTCACTCAGATTGACATCAGGACTCTTTTTCTGTACACTTTGAAATAGTCATTTCTTTTCTTTTTCACAAACAGTAACATTTTTATTAGAATTGTATGCTAAGGTCTTTGGAGATGCCCTCGTGCCCTTTAGAATGCTTGGTAAATATAGCATTTATGATGCTAGCTAGATGCTAGCAGCTCTGTAGTTTTTACATTGTGAAAAAGGAACAGGGACTAGAAGCACTCATTGGGCAATTCAAGTCATCTGAGCACTAAAAATTTATCACAGGTCAAACTAATTTCACTGTAATGACAGACTAATTCTTTTGTTTTCTGTAATGTGAATACTTCAAAGGGTGCCAACGCAACACACAAACTGGGAACCACATGGACAAAATGTACTTCAGAAATCGTATGTGTTACAATTCTGTAATCGGAACTTAAAAGGCGGGGCAGTCCCGAGTTTGAATGACAGCCCCTGCTATTGCATCACGGGGCAACCAGAGGCTGGAATCCCATTCCGTAGTGGCAAAAGTGAGGTGCGGTTGCATTTTGCACACGCGTAGATGCCCGTTCAGAATTGCTTCCAGATTGCGATTGCTTTCTGTCTGCTATATTCCCCCTCCCCAAGACACTCATTTACATGTAGGTTAGTGGTGTGTCCGATCTGACTTACATGTGTGCTGGGAGGGGGTCTCACCCCCCTGTTACTGATTCTAGCATTACCGCTTCTATGTTAACACAGAATGGCTCAGTATGATTGGAGGAGTTGGAGTTGATATCAACGATAATGGGTTTGCATTTTCTGCCCGAGCTTCAACGCTTTCTGTTCAGGTGGCTGTTCTTAAGCCCACTGTAGCAGTAGACCTTGTTTAGTGTGATCCTTATCCATCTGCTAAGATTGTGTTCTTTTCTAAAGGAGCTCTGCCTCCTTTAGCTAACTTCTATGCCTTCTTAGGTTCTTGTTGATTCTTATTATGTTGATCTGAGAATGGTACGAAGCTGAACTTATATCCATTTCCTAAGTAACCAGCTATCACTAAGATCTTCCCGCTCTTTTGCCACAGAGACAGGTTGGCTATAATATGCTGTCTTGGAGTAGCCACTTAGTTTCGGGAAGTCAGACTGCAGGTCTTTTTGCCTGATTGTTCTGGATAGATCATAATGCAAAAGGTAGGAGGGTTGATCTCTGCTTTTTTGTGCTTTGGTGGGCTGTTTCATATCTCTTTCAGCTTTCCCTTGCGGTACTTTTTCTATTGCTCAATTTTCCTTTTCTGTCGCACATACTTGGGAGGCAAAATGTTTTTTTGGATTTTTTTGTGGGTATGTATTTCTGTGCAGTTGGGCGGGTGTTGCGGCCAGCTCTATGGCTCAGTACGACCTGATTTGCACGGGTATCGTCTCAGTGTGCTGAGGCTTTCTTAGCTACACTCTGGTTGTTCCAAATGCACTTTCCGGTACACTTATTGTGTTACAACTTGTCTCCACTGGAGTGACCAATTGCTATATCGTTTACTTTTGGGGCTGGGTAACGGGTAATTGGGTGAGTGACGGGCTTCAAAATGAGTGGATAAACATGAATCAGTCCTTGACCTAATTTTACTTGAGGAAAAAAAACAAGATTTAAAGCTAATTTTTATACTGGATGTGCATATTTATTGCCCCAGACTTAAATCTTGCTGTGAATCTACACTAATATCTTCAAAGGTGGAAAAATTCTACATGCAATTTCACAATAATTGCAAGCAACACCTATTAAATGTCAGTGGAATCTTGAAACCCCCCCCCCCCCCAGATTCATTATTATAAGATGCAAAAAGAGCATGTGTTTGATCTGTGATTTCCACACCAGAACAGGATGTGCTAGTGGAAAAAGACAGTGACACATTAAAAAGAAAAACTGCACAGCTCATTTTTCTTTTCAAGAAAACCAGACATGTTTGGTCAGTAATACTAAATCCTTTTCAATAGGTCCACACTGTGGTAGTGGAACCACACGGGGTGGTAGTGGAATAGGTTTCTTGATGACAAAATTCATGATTTAGAGGCTTTCATTTCATCAGACTCTTACGACATTATAGGAATAACTGAAACATGGATGAGTGACAATGATGGTGAGCAATATAATATGGATGGTTACACGTTGTTCCGTAGAGACCGGATAGGAAAGAAGGGAGGTCTTGTTGCAGTATACGTAAAAGAAAACTTGCAGGCAAGGGAGCTCACTGATAAAAATAAAAGTACAGAAGCTGTATGGATAAAACTAGATGCTAAAAACTCAAATGGCCTAATTGTCGGTGTTTGTTATAGAGCAGGATAGCTGAATGTTATATGACGATATCAGGATTATGAGTAATAAAAATTACGTGGTGGTTATGGGTAATTTTAATTTACCTGGGATACAGTGGGACACAGTCTCTGGATCTTCTGTAAATGAACTTGAGATGGTGGAATTACATTGTGCCCGATGGTGGAATTAGGATTGTTTTTTTACTCAGTTTGTTTATCCCCTACCAGGGGAGATGCCCTTCTTGATCTAGTTTTGTCTAACAACCAAGATAGGATTGGAAAATTAGAGGTTTTAGAACCACTGGATGGTAGCGATCACAACATGATTAAATTTGAGGGTAATTTTAGTGTCCGAAGAGCAAAGTCCAAAACAAAAATATACAGTGTGTGGAAAGGCTAACTTAACTGGAATGAGACTGAAACTAAAAACTGTAAACTGGATTGAATTAAACAGCAAAACTGTTTGGGAATTTTTTAAAAGCACGTTGTTGCAAGTGCAAGAAATCCCAGGAATATCTACAGGTTGAGTTAAAAATAACATTAGACTCGCTAAGAGGAATGCAGAAAGGAACATTGCACTGGAAGCTAAGGATGACATTAAAAGTTTCTTCCAATATTTTAACTCCAAAAGAGCTCTAAAAGCTGAAATCACTAATCTGCAGGATAGTAAGGGTCTTATAATTGAAAATGAAATTGATATAGTAAATGAGTTTAATGATTATTTTACACAGGTGCTCACAGTATAGAATACAAGTAACCTGCCACCATTTAGTATAAATACAGCGTTGTCTATGAGCAATATATGTATAACTGAGGCTGATGTGGTACAAAGCCTAGCTAAGCACAAAATAAATAAATCGCAGGGCCCTGATGGCATCTTACCTATAGTTTTAAAAGAGATGAGGGATATTATTAGCCAACCTTTAACCAGGGCTGTGGAGTCGGAGTCGGAGTCGAGGAGTCGGAGTCGAGGAGTCGGAGTCGA